CTTCTTATCCATCGGATATAATTACAACAACTTGAATCACACACATACCCTTGGTTTCTTTGGTAACACACGAGTGCCTAAGGCCAAGTTTCTGGAAGAGGAGCAGCTTTAGCTAGTGACATTGTTTTCACGACTGTGTATGGGGATGTATTGGTAATAGGATGGAGATCAACAAACATCTCCATCTCCTCATATGTGATGTGCAAATCCTCCAATTTGATCCCCTTCCCTATCCTGCATTTGCAAAATCATGCGCTTTGAAACTCCCCATGTTTTATGATCCTTTATCACTCTCTGCATGTTAAACTTCTTTCCTTTAAGTAACACGAGTAGATGAGACCTCAAAACAAGCCTAAACAACTTTGAAGCATCTAAGAGCATGCTTGATTTAGTTTTTTTTTAACTTAAAAGCTATTATAAAGCTCTTATAAAAAATAATAACTTTTAAAATTAAATTAAAATTATTTGATAAATTTACTTTTTATAAGTTCTTTTTTATAAATAATTTTTTTGGTAAAATAACTTATATAAACTCTAACTTTAATTAAAATTACTATAAAGGATATTTAATAAATAATTTTTTATTAATCAGAATTTCTTTATTCAAAATAAAAAATTTTGAAAGGATTTTTATATAACATAAAGTTTATAATTAATAAAAAATTATAAAAAAAGAGTTCAACAAATAATTTATAAGTAACACATAACTCATAAATAATTTTTTATTGAATAACAATAAATAAATAATATCAAAAGAAAATTTGAATCAAATAAAAAAAATGAGAGATGGAAAAAAGCAGTGAGCCAACTATTAAAATGTAGGAGAACTCATAAAAAAAGAAGAGAAGTCTAGAGTAATAGTAATAATTCAGAAAAATCAGGTTTAGCTATTGATGTTCTTACCAACAAAGTTCATTGCCATGAACAATATTATCTCAACAATCATAATCAACAAATATTATCTCAAATTTTATCTAATTTATCTTAACAACCATTGACCTATTTAATTAATTATTTCAATCATAATCATGAAATATTATATGCACCATAAAGAAGTTAAGAATAAATAAACATTACATAATTGTCATATCAAACAATAAACTGAAAAATATCAACTAATAAAGAGAGTTTTCAAAGTCTAAAAAAAGGATAGAAAATAAAATAAAAAAAATAAAAAGAAAAAAAAGAAATAATATCTGAATGTAGTTTTAAATTTTGAATCTTTTTTTTCTTAATTTTTGTAAGAACAAAAAAAAATTCTTAAAATGATGATTTGCAAAAAGGGAGAGAGGAGAGGGAGATGATAGGGAGAGAGAGAGGGAGTTATTCTGAGAGAGAAGATCTTTTTGGAAAAAAATAGTTTTCCTAATAAGTTGGCATGTTTTTTTTAAAAAAAAATAAGAAGAAAAAGCTCCTAATTAGAGCTTTTTTTTTAGATTTTATTTTTTAAAAAAGAAGTTACTTTTTTTTAAGAGCTTTTTACGAAATTCTATTTAACCCAACTTCTACTTTTAAGTAATAGATAAACTAAATATAAGCTAGGCCCAATGGGCACTATATTAAGGTGGCTCATCAATCACAGAGAATCTATTATGCCTTATTATTTTCAATACGTGCACTATATTCTCCACTGTTTCAACTCTAAAAAATGTCACTAATGGACCAAAGATAACATCACCAACAACCTAGTTTCTCATGTATGGTTCTATATAAGCCTCCAAATAAGGTAATCTTTTCATATTCACAATCTTGTCATAAACACCCTTATTAAAGCTATTAGCAACAATTTTTGATATAAGGGGCACTAACATGACCAACGGCAACATTAATAAGCTATTGAACTATGGCAAAAAGAGAAACGATCATTCTCATGGTGCCACCAAGGAAGGAAGTAGCTCCAAAGAAGGTAAAAAAGCCCACATCAAGATTCATAAAAAGGACCAAGTAAGGTCTTAGTAAGTCGACCATAAAAGGCTCCCACAAGTATTATATGAATGAAGAGGCAACAAGGAACAACAATGCCATAAGTGATAATTCCAAGGCAGTAAATTACAACAAAGAAAAGGGAAAGGGTGGAGAGATGAAATTCCTTTTCAGTTTCGCTGCTTAGTAGGTTGCGAATAGCATCATCATTTGTGTTGAGAAAGAGGAAGGCAAGGTCATTGTACCGAGTTGGTAGGCTTTGGAAATTCTTATAGTTTTGGAACCATTTATGGTGGGCACTACTCTGGTCGGTGAGCAGGACAAGGAATACATTGTGAAAGCCATGGTAGACCATATGAACAATAAAAGGTTAAAAGTGAAACTCTAATGATAAGTAAAATTGTAAATGATGGACCTTTCCTGCAATTAACTGTAAACAATCATAAAGAGCAACTTTACAAAATGAAAGATCCACTAGTCAAGGTAGCAACAACTTGTTGTTCTTATTTTAAAAGAAAATATTTTGGACTAAACAGAACCTTGAGAACAAATTTGTGCAACATGCATGTTAATTTTCTTATAAATGATGATAGTCTTATATCTGTGTCTTATAAAATATTCAAGTAATTAACAGTTTTGTTGCAAGGAGCTTAAACATGCTTGTTGATAATGCTGTAAGTACGGAGGACCTTGTCCACAAAATAACTATATTGGCTTCCAAGAACTCCTGCTATGATCCCAAGGAATATAATTGCAACTAGATCAGGGACACCGTAATTAGGATTTGAGGAATTGACATCAAACATGATCAATCTTCCTTGCCCAAACAGACCACATTTTCCACCCTAGCAAAAATCTATGAAACCTCTTAACACCACCATTACAATAGCTGTTGTAAAATATGTCCACTAACATAAGACACTCCGCCACCTTAGTAATTTCATAAGAGAAGAGGAATTTGTTTCAAGGTAGAACACCATAAGAGAGCCTTAAAGTCCTTGATGATATGGAAGCACTAAACTGACATCAATATAGCAAAATCCCAACTACATATAGCATAAAGTCTTTTTGAGATGCATATAAAAGTTAAAATACTTATCCCAATTTTTATGAATGATCATACTGCCTTGATAAGTTTGGCATGGCTTTCGAACCACCTTAGAGGTTTTAGAAACAATCTAATATATAGTAACTAAGTTTTTTCAATATTTTCAACTTCCACTCAATTGTATTTCTTTTAGTTTTACTTTAATGCTAAGTTAGATGATTGAGAGAAGATGGCAATAAACGAAAATAAATAATTAAATAAAAAACCATGTGGTTGTTGCACCTGGTTGTATATTTTCATTTTATAACTATGCTAACTAAGAAGGGATGGCACGGAGCTTAGAGTTACCATGATGCTGCTACTTCCAGTGCAAAGAGTACCTTACCAACTAAGGCATAAAAAACTGCTACACTAGCAACAGCACCACAGGTGATTAAATCTGGTCAATCTTGATCATTTTTAAAGTATCTATGCCATTCCAAGTCAAATGGTATTTACAAGAACCCCCTTGCCCAAGTAAATAGGCTATGCAAGCACCAATGTATACCTTAGGCCCTTCTTTGCCAACCACAAATCCAGCCACAACTCCAAACATGGAACCAAAAATCTACTAGGTATAGATCAATATCATAAAACTGTTTAAACAATCATTGTTGCATTTATTGGGTATGCTTTCACCTTAGGTATGCTAGAGCTTGCAGTTGCAGGAGCAACGTAAGCACATAGGGTGACAATATCAATAGCCAAAACCATGTTGTAACCAGTATATGCTGCAAATACATGAAAATATCTGCATTGGAATGACAATGATTTATAATTACTCCTTTTTTATATATAAAATTTAAGAGACACTAAAATTGAATGACAAAGGATTTTGGGTTATTTGTTTGAAAAAGGAAAATAAAATAAATCAAGTATTCTAACTAAACAATGAAAAGCATGATACCTCCCACTGTATGATAACCTTTCACAAATTAGTGCTGTGGAATCTAGGAATAACAACAGTACCTACAACTTGTATCAATCTCTTACATGTATCTATGTTTCCGGGCATACGCATTAAACTCCAATTACTTTCATCTTGTCAGAAACCAAATCTGAGGTATCTTCTTATTTAGTCTTCAGAATAAGTTGTATGGGATATATCTTCCAATGAGAAACAATGTCATCGTCCGTGAAACTCATTGCTTTGGTTTTTCTTTCGAAACCTGACAGATCATTCTACAAGCTTCCAACAAAATGACACCAAAACAGCCACAATTATCCCATCAGTCACTCATATCATCAATTCCTTCAAAATTTGTAACCCCATCAAATGCTTCATCATCAAGTGCTTCCCCATCTTCACTCCCTTGATCAGTTTCCATCGCATCTTCAGATTCCTTTTCGTCACTTTCATCTTTGTCCTAATTTATAATTACTCCTAAGTCTAACAAGTCTCATAATGCTAGAATTATCAAAGCATAGGAAGCTATTTCTAAAAATAAGCATTGTCAATTTGATAATTGTTATGGTCACCTGCTAAATCATTATGTGAAAAACAATTAAATTTCAAGTGCCGATCTTACATGTTTTTTAGTAACATTAATCAGTCTAAGAGTATAGCTCCATCTAGAAAACTAAAGTCCCAACACAGTGATACAAGTTAATAAACTGAAGCATTTCAGTGTCAAATGTTGCAGGCACTACCTCCAAACAAAGTACTATGGCTAATGTATATTCATTATATCATGTCCTTTGCACTAACACAATGTTTGTGCTGATTGATATAACACCTTAATTGAATAACATAGCTCCATTGAATGCGGGGTGGACCATAAGGAAAATGTTTTAGGTACACAAGAAAGGTAGTGAAGCCTTAACAATTTATGAAATTTCAATGAAAAACAAGTAGTTCAAATCCAAAATTAAAAAAAAAATGAACTTGAAGCTAGTATTCCAAACTATCTCACAAATTGTTGGAGAATCATACAATTATATTAGTGGCAAGTTGCAACCAAACAAGAGCCAAACATATGCAAATTTAACATGATAATAAAGACAATTAAATTAAATGAGAAATAATGTGATAAGGCTAGGAAAACAAGATAGTTTTATAAAGTGATGGTTAAACTTACTTCTCTTTCATCATGAGATTGTTGGTGAGCAAAATTTTGAAACTAACTATGTTATCAACTACAAGGTTATTGCAAAAGGCAACAAGCCCTATTCCCAATACAATCAGGAATTCTAAAGTCCACTTAAGAACGACATACTCGAATATTTCAACCTTAGCTCCAAACCTCCAATCCTGCTTAAAAAGATTATTCTCTATGACCCTGAAAAAAAAAAGGCATAAACCCAATTAAGGCCTAGTTAAAATAGTGTGATGCTAACTTTAAAGAACAAATGAATGACATATAGTGCTAAATGCCATGAAGACTATACAACATGGGAATTTTAGAGAGTTGGTTGTGTTTAATGGTGGTCAGAGATCATTCTAGCATATATAAAGTTTCATTTCTCAAAATAGAAAAAATAAATGGGAGATGTGGCTTTTCGACTCATCTCCCTTTAGTTGTCAATTGATTATGGTGTCCCTGTATGCATGTTTAAGGGTTTTGTTAGCAGAACAAAAGGCAAACATCAACTAATGGGGTCATTAAATTCAATCAAAGGCTTTGCTTGGGCTCTTTAGCTTTCTCATAGTAACTTTTTAAACAAAAACAAGATTCATAGTCGTTTTGTAATGTCACCTTAGACTAGGCATTATGGGAAAATACAATTTTCAAAAGAAAACAGAACATGTCATTAGAAGCTTTATTTTTTGCGTTACATTTTAGCAATTTTCTTCTAAACTGAATCAAATATAATTGTTGTGCTTTAATAAGTCTAAAATGATAGAACAATGATACAAGAAAAACACAAGAAAACATTAATTTAAAAGAAAAGAAAATAGCTTATTTATTTAGACTTACTCATAATCAAAGCTCTGAATGGGGCAGGCATTTGCACCAACAATGGCAATCTGAAAGGTGCTATTAATCTTGTTTTGGAAAAGCAATGGCTTTTTCATTGTCCCAATTGCCTTATTATCTGAGAATTCTGCTGACCGATCACCTTGTTTACTCTCATAGTATTCATGATCATATACCACCCTTTCGAACTCTTTTGTATTATCCATTTTTTCTTGGCTTTAATTCTATTCCTTTCTAGTGTTCTACCTAGATAGAAATACTTTTAGTATTGTTTTTGGTTGATATTAATTACTACACCAATACATCAATCCTATATGGCTGTCTCCCACCAGGAGAATGAAGCCAACAACTTCGCCATGCCCATAACAAACTCCACATATTTCTCTCTCTTTCCTTATTCTAATTAATTGAATCTTAAGCTCTTTGCATTTAATACTAGTATTTGCTAAATTTTTTTGTCAAAAGTAGATTTGTTATCTGTTGTGTTGTCTTCCGTTGCAGAAGAGAAAAAAAAATCACTAGATTCATGTGATTCCCATGTTACTTTCTTTTTTTGCGTTAAACTTCAAGCTAATTTGTCACGCCCCAAACCAAGGTTTTAGGACTTAACAGACATCTCGTACTTATGAAACAAATCCTATAAACTTGTAAGGCAACAAATATCATGCCAAACAAATATACTATTTTCAAACTCTCTTCAAAATTTACACTTTATAAAATCTCAAGTCTCCAAATATAATATTAAAATATAATTCTCCCAAAGATACAAATTTCTCATCTAGCTAACATATACTTAACAAAGCTAAAACTTGAATATTCCAATTAAATTTATATTCATCTAAGGGCATATGCTAATCTTGCTAACCAAAACTCTTGCCAAGCAAGTCTAACTCCTAAACATGCAAAGATGTTGAAATTTGTAAACTGATGAGAATTAATGGAATGACTACAATCATTTAGCAAGTAATTGATATCTCATCAGCCAAATTAAGCATGCTCAAAACATTTAAGTCAAAACTATTAATACGCATATAAGTATTGTAGACATTAAACTTTTTTTCATTATTGATATTATTTATTATTTTATCTATTAATTAAGCATTATAATGTTCTAGAGACTGAGGGTAATAATAAAATAAAATAAAAGAGAAAAAAAAGGCTAGCTGACATGTGGCAGGGTGCGTCCACACCCTGCCAAGCACAAGAGCACCTTGCCAGACACAGAAAAATTGCATCTGGCAAAGGTAGTCACGCTACACCCCTAGGACTGAAAATGGGTATAAAAACCCCATTGTAGCAGTAGCAAAAACTTTTAGAGAAAAATTCTGAAAAAACCTAGCAACTAGTAGCCAACATCCACAAAGCAAAAAAGAGCAAAAAAAAAATGATGAAAAGTTACCAAAAATAGGAAGAAATCCGGGGAAAGGGAAAATGGGTTTTCTTTTTTTTTTTCTCTCACAGTGTGTGGAGATTTGGAGGTTTTGTTTTTGGAGGGCGTTTGGATAGATTAAAAAGGGAAAGTGAACTTTGGTTACTTGTCACCGAATAAAGAGAAAAAAAAAGGGTTATTTGCCTTTGGTTAAAGAGCAAAGGCTTGGGTTAGAGTCATCCATCTGTGAAGAGAAAAAAGGAATTGGTTGCTGTCGGTTGGAGAGGAAAGGTTTGAAGTTTAATTACCGCCGGTGATATATGAGAGAGAGCTGATGAGAGAGCAGGAAAATGGAGCCTTTTTAGAGAAAGAGCGGTATAAACTACAAAAGCAAAAGGAAAAAGAAAGGGGAAGGTAGAAAGTCATATCCTAGTGTAGAAAAAGCTAAAAACGATGCTGTTCCAAAGGAGTAAAAATCGTTCCTTTGGCTTCCCACGGTGCATTTGGTAGAGGAGGTTCGATGGGCTGTAACGTTCCACTCGGGCGACGATCTAAGCCCAAGTTAGGTAAAAAATCATACTTGTTTCCTTATAGATTTATTGGGTCTTGAGATGATTGGATTAAATGTGTTATTTGAGGATATAGAATGAAGTTAACATATTTTAGCATAATATCCTAAAATTTTTAGATGATATTTTTGAACATGGAAATTAGTGTAAGCAGAAAACACAAAGGTGAAAATAATAGTAAAAAATGGTAAAAATATTTTTAAAATAATTAACTAAATTAAAAAGAACTTAGATTTAGAGGAATATTTATTAGAGGTACATAAACTTAGATAAAATGATATATATATATATATACGTAAAACGAAGGAAAAATGTCTACATAAAATATGCTCATAAGGATAATCTAGATAACTAAGAATAAAATATACTTGTCATAAATGGAAATAGGTCCTATACGCAGAAAAAAAGGGGGGACACTTATGGTATAAATTTATTTAGATACTTGTAAATATAATAAATGTAAAAAAATACATGATACAAATATAAAAATTATAAAAAATAGAATAGTTATTTTGAGTAATCCGATGATAGAATTCCACCCAAAAAGGGGCAAAGAGTTACCTCTTTCGGGTGAATTTTTTAGGTACAGAGTTCAAGAAGGATTTTCACCAAAGCATCGGGATAAATCCGAACTTTGTACTCTAATACTTATTAACTCAAATAATCATTTTTATATGAAAAGAAATAAATTTATATATGTTATATTTAAATCTAGATTGATATAGTTAGTTAATTAGCTTAAACAACTATCACTAAATAAAATTAATTAAATTAAAATTTAAATATTAAATAAATAATTATTTATTTATTAAATACGAAATGTATAGTTGAATAAAATATATTAACTTGTAGTATTAATTAAAGGCTAGTGACTTAAGTAGCATGTTTTCAAAAAAGATATATACAAATAAATAAATAAATAAATAAGGTAGTAAATTACCCTAAATTATTAAATACATTGTTCCATAAATTATAAATTAACTAAACCATATTTAAGCGTGCTCATGTAGACATCATAATTTCATTTTGTTATAGCACGCCAAGTATATTTTGTTAATGAGACGGGAACTCCGAGGATGGGATTTCCTCGAAGGACTTGTAGAGACGAGTTTTTTTGGGAATATCCCTAGGTGAGGAAAACGTCGAGACCTCACCAAAGCGTTGGAGTGGTCTACGAACGATTTTCGATACAAGGTTGTTATTCTCATTATTTAAAATTAATAAATCATGCCATCATTTTGCAATTGCATCATGTGCATATGCAAGAGGGAATAAAAAAAATTAATCTACTAATATAATAAAAGATTAACTAATAAACATAGATTAAGGAAACATCAATGGTTTAAGTTTCAATAGGATAACATGAGATTAAATGGTACCATTCGTGGAGCGGGCGCCACGAACCTGTTAATCCTTCCCTATGCGTAACCGCATTTCCGAACTTGACTCTAAAGAAAATCGTAGACCAATTTTGCATTCTTTCGACGGATCTAAAATTAATTTAGGACTTCGTCGACTAGAATTGATTAAATAGGTGGCCAATCACACCTATACAAAAAAAATTGGTGATGACTCCCAACCTAAGTGTTTTCCCACGTCAAGTGGTCGGGTTCCCAGACCCGCTCATTACAACAAGTATCAAAATAGAATTTTGGGTAATCTCATTCAGAATCATATATTTCAAAATTTTACTTTCAAATAATAAAAGTCAATATAATTCCATTTCAGATAACATAGCTAACAAAATTTTGAAACTTTCAAATAATAGAACAAAACATAATTTCACACTAATTTTAGATTTTATTGGTCTTCTATAACATGCTATGACCACATTTAATACTTATAGCATAAGTCATAATCAAAACCACAATTAACTCTAGTGGCACAGATTTGAATTCGAACCACAATTAACTCCAGTGGCATGGGTTAAAAGTATATCAGAAGCAACCATTGGTTGCATTGAACGGATATCACAAATATCACTATTCTGTAACCGATGGTGTGGTTGGGAGATCGATCTCTAATTACAAAATACATGTCAATATGGTCAACATTTAACCCTCTTTGGCAAGGTTAGAGTATAGTCATACTAAGGGACAAAACGAAAACATATATTTTTAGCTTATCTAAATTTCACAAAATAATGTATTAACTTTCTCAAAACATATCTCATGTATATCAAAAACAAAATTGTTTCAAACTAAATATTTACAAAGATTGTCATATATGCATACATTAATAAAAATCATGTTTTAGAACAAAATCGAAATCATATTTCAAAATTCAGAATAAAGATCACATTTACTTACATATATTAGCATGCTCACTTGATTTAACAAACCATAAGACAAAATATCATATACAAGTACAAAAATTACTATTTTAAAGGTGTAGAAACATTGAAAAGATATCAGTTATTTATTTGATTTGCTAAATCAAAACCAAAAGACAAAGAATCAAAATCCTCTTGAAACCTATTAATTTAAAACACTCAAAGTTTGTAACAAATACTGTTAACTTATCAAAACGAATCATGATTTCTTACTAGTTATTTTAAGGCATTTAGGATGTAACCTCTTTTTCGCTAATCAAAACTAATTTTGATTAAAAATAAAAATTGATTTTTATTAATAATTTATAAATACATAAAACATTCAAAACTTAAAAACTCATAAGTTGAAATCAGTAACAAGTATAAGGCTTGATAGAAAACATCAAATGCTAATTAAATCTTGACTCTTGAATATTGTTAACAACTTTTTTGAAATCTATCAGTTCAAAAATAATTTTTCAAGTAAATATTTACTCATAAAAAAATTAACTAAAATTCAAATAGTTTAAATTTCTGAAGTTTCTATCAAAATAAATCGAATATATGTCAAGAATAATTTTTAAAATAATTAAAAATAAATTTTTATAAATTTTAAAATTTCAAATTTTCATGATCATCTGACTTACTTCGAGCACTTATAACTCTTAACTCGAATTGTTGGTAGTCATAAAATTAAAATAAAATTGAAATATTCATGTCATAGTATAACATTAAAATTAGTTTGATGAAAAAGATTGCAAAATTCCCAATTATAGAAACCAAAAATTTAAAAATTATCACAAACTTACCCAGATTTTTGGATTTTTATATTCAAGTTGCTAACTTCGAACCTTCAGTTTTTTTAACACAGAAAGCCCCGAATTGAGCTATGGACACCAAATTAAACATAATATTTCATACACCAAAAGCCCTAAAAAAATGACTCAAACATTTTTGGAATGTGAAGTTTTAGTGACTCAAATTTGGGTCATCAAAACTATTAAAAATAGCTTTCCATTCAACTTTATAAATTCATATCTTTCTAATCACAAAGCCAAATGAGATGTTACAAAGACCATTAAAAAGATATTTTCAAGAATTTTCCGTTGGTACTCAATCATGCCCTCGAAAAGTTATTGAAATAGTATTGAATTTGAATGAAAGTGAAAGAAATGTAAACTAAACTTACGGATTTTTTTTCGATTTATACAAAAATACAATTTTCATAAGTTAAAACCTGATTATACCTAAATCATTGCTTTTTTGAATAGATTTTCCCTTTTTTTGCCTTCTTCTTCTTTTATTAGTTTCTCTCAAATAATCTTCTTTTTTTTTATTGTTTTTCTTTAACATGATAATGAAAACTGTCTTTTAACTTCCTCTATCTACCTTTCTCTTAAACGTGATAATTAAAGTTATGTTAACCTCCTTTATCTACTTTTCTCTTAAACATGGTAAATAATGTGATATAATATAACTAACATTAACTAAAATACTTTATTTGCTTTAAGAGCCCTTCTTCTATTTTGTTTATAAACCCAAAGGTCATATCCGTACTTATAAAAAGTTGGACTTATGTTATTTTTATTAATTAATATAGACTATAACTTAGTTGTTACTAATTCTTTTATATAATTAATTAAATAGGCTACTTTTGACAGGTATTACATTTCAACGCTGGCACGGGTCGCCACTCGCCATGGAAGAGATTTTGCATCATTCTTTGGTACTTGTCACCGAAACCATATTGATAGGTGTTTCTTTCTCAACCGACCCTTTTTCCCCTATTGTAAAAAACAAAGTCCGCCATCTATAAAATTTTAGGTTATGCAGATTTGTATATGAGTTTTGAAATAAAATTACAAACTAAAGTCCTTTTTAAAAATATTAATTAATAATAGTTATATATATAGAATATAAAAAATAATTAATATTTTTGTTTACTATTACCTTAAAAATTATTCAAAAGGTGGGCCTAATATTCTTATTGGGCTTGTAATTTGACATAGCTTTTATCAACAGTATGGGCTTGGCAGCCCTTTTCAGCAGGAGGCGTGTTTATATTTCTATTAATCACGCACTTTGGATTGACTAGGACCCGATGGGCTGGAGCCCAATTAATTTATGCAATAACATTCCACGTCGCCATCTTCTTCAACTGTTTGTTAACTGTTCAACAAAAATTGAAAATTGAAATGAATGATTTATTCATACTTTGTTGTAATTAATATTACTATAAAATGAATTAAATCCAGACGGAACATATGACTATAAATATATATACATATCTACTGGTATTATTTTTACATTATTTAAAGCTTTAATGGTCGACTCCGATTGGGATTCTCTTCTCAGATCATCAAAAAAAAAAAAAAATCATTTTCAAATCAAATCATCAACCATACCAGTTTCCATCCTAATCAAATTCATCAGTATTTCTCTTTGTTCCCTTTTGTTATTGGTACCAAATCCGATCGACATCAAGTGCGAATTCGTTGTTTTGTTTGCTTTATTTATACAATTGCACAAGTAGAATAATATTTTTATTCTGGATCTGGAAAGACAAAGGAAAGGAGATTTTGGAATCTCCATTGTATATGAATTGAATGAATAGATTCCAGAGGTGAGTGGCGAAAAAAGAAAAGAAGCAAAGCATTTTGGAATTTCCGCAATTCATTCATTCAAGAAAAAAAAAAAGCAGAAAGAATTATGCCCAGAGGCAGGGGAGAAGATGGAGAGAGGCACATGGGTTTGCTGAAACTCGTGCAAGTTCTCTCATTTTTGGTGGTTTTCGTGGCTGGGATTATCATTGGCTTAGCCACCAGCTCTCACATAAACACCTATTTCTCTTCCCAAGCGCAGGCGCAGCTGTTTTCTACTTCCACAGCCACTTCGTTTCGTGTGTCCAGCGGCACCACCAAAGCCAATTGCAGCCCGAAAGTGGATTGCTTCAGCATGGATGCCTTCCTTCATCCAACCAATTTGAGCCATAAAATGTCGGATGAGGAGTTATTTTGGAGGGCTTCCATGGCACCTTACAGAAATGAATTCCCATTTCCTAGGGTGCCAAAGGTGGCCTTCATGTTTCTGACCAGAGGGCCTTTGCCTTTGCTGCCTTTGTGGGAGAGGTTTTTCAAGGGCCATGAAAAGTATTTCTCCATTTATCTGCACACACCTCCTGCCTATCACCTCAATGTCTCCTCTCACTCTCCTTTCTATGGAAGACAGATCCCTAGTCAGGTACCCGCTATTCACGCCTTGTCCCCTTTTCATTTGTCATTTCCTTCTTCATTTTTCACTACTGCAAGATTAGTTCACAACTTTTAGAAAACTTGTTTATGGAAACCAGGTTTGAGGTTGTTTATGTTGATTGTATTACATCATGACAGACAGATGCTTAAATTCCTGTTATAAAGCTCTAGCTCTGCTTCTTTGAAACTTAAGGAAACAACTGATTCATACCCAAAATTAATGAATATGCCCTGAGGACTTTGCGTGCCTTGCCTTGCCTTTTACCAATCTACTTGGATACAAGTTGGCTGTTATATTATTTACCTGGCAGAGACAGGTCAAAATTGTTAGACAACAGTGAGGGTCAAGGAGGAGAAGGGGATGTGAGATTCAGATTCAGTTCTTATTGCTTGTGAATCATACAGTTGGGAAATTATAATGCTTTCTTGAGTGTTTTTTTTTTTAATTCTTTCTTGATTGTTGTTAAACTGTGAACAATGATGACAATCTCATGCGTAATAAAGGTTGGATGAGCCTTATGAATTATTTAGCTATTCACAGATTCTGTAAGGTGTTTAAATTCTGGACATAAGTATTCCATGTGCCATTCTTATATTTTCAATTTCCAAGTTTTTAAATTTTTACTTTCTTTTTATTATTAGATGCACCTGGACCTGATTGTTCACTTAGATGTTGACTCTTGTCTTAGCTTATTAATTCTTCTTACAAATAATATCCTCAAAAGTCGTTTTAAGAGTTTGGATGCTGAGGTCTGTTGTGGAATCTGTTTTAAACATGTTTAGATCTGTCCAAACGATGAGTCTGTCTCTCTTCCACCACTTTTCCTAAGAGTGGCAGATCTCAGGATAGTGCCAAGTTTGAAGCTTCATATACAAAGTCTATCAAAACCTTTAAATCTATGTTGTAAAGCAAGAAAAATCATTTTCAGTCCTTACAAAACATAATAATATAGGGGGAAGAAATTTCATTGCTGCCTGTAGTTATATATAAGTTGACATGGGACCTTACCTATTGGGTAGTTCAGACCACCATATCAAATTGGGTGGGCTAAATTTTCCTGGAGTTTCATTGCCATTTCATGGTTTTTGGTCAATCTTCACTCTCCTTTTCTCCTTTTTCTCCTTCCATTCTCTTTTTCATCTTAAATCCACTTCTTAGCTCAATTTTATTCCATTCCTGATCCTCTCATTGATCAAGCCTCACTGCCCAAGCACCCCTTCCTTAATTTCCTTAGCCATGGTGATGGGAAAGAAAGAAAACAGTAAGAACATGCAGAATGATGGAGTTTTTCCGACTGGTCAAGTTGGTGGCATCACAGTGGTATAATTTTTATTGCTCCCAGATCATCAAGGAAGGTGTCAATAACATTGCTCTGGATCATTGCCTGCACTGACATATGATCCTGTTGCCTCCTAACCTGTCCACCTGTATTGTGTTTTATTCTTTCTATTTGTGCCATAACCTTGCTCAGAAGTAAGTCCTGTTTTTGGGTTAGCTAGTACTTTAGAGAGAGGGGGAGAGGGGAGACAGGAGAGAGAGAGGTGGGAAAATCTGTTTTATGTGTCATAACAAATCAATGGCAAACATTGTTGTAAATATTCAGTAAACACACAAATGAATGCAAAAGATGCAATGAACTAGGACAGGTAAATCAACATTGCACATGAATTTTATTTCGAAATTACATTCCCTCATCTTCAGTACTCTATTTTTTCACATTTAGTCTGCCATTTCCGATCAAAGTATGTTTCCTTTATTTCATGAACCATTTTTCTTCTTTTTAGAATGTGGAATGGGGGACTGTTTTGCTGGCCGATGCAGAGAGGCGCCTTCTGGCAAATGCACTGCTTGACTTCTCAAATGAGCGATTTGTTCTTCTTTCTGAGAGCTGCATCCCAGTCTATAACTTCCCAACTGTCTACAAGTATCTCATTGGTTCTGCCTACAGTTTTGTTGAGTCATATGATGATCCCTCCCGCTATGGACGTGGCCGCTACAGCCGCAAGATGCTTCCTGACATTAAGCTCTATCAATGGCGAAAAGGATCTCAATGGTTTGAGATGCACCGTTCGGTTGCCATTTACATTATTTCAGACACCAAATACTACACCCTTTTCAGGAAGTATTGTAGGCCTGCTTGCTATCCAGATGAGCATTACATTCCAACTTTCCTGAACATGTTCCATGGATCTTTGAATGCAAACCGGAGTGTGACTTGGGTTGACTGGTCAATGGGGGGTCCTCATCCAGCAATGCATGGGGGAGCTAATATCACGGAGGGTTTTATACAAGCCATAAGGAAAAATGGGACACTTTGTTCATATAATGAGGAGCAAACATCTGCGTGTTATCTCTTTGCTCGGAAGTTTGCTCCTAGTGCATTGGAGCCTTTGCTCAACCTCAGCTCGACAGTGATGGAGTTTTGAGGGATTAATTTAGGGAAGGATTGAAATTCTTTTTTATCCTCAATCATCATTCATTCTTAAAGTTTTGAGATCTTTAGTTCTTACAGGGCTTTTGTCATAGTCATCCAATTTTGATCTTTATTTTGGCTCAAATTGTACAGATAGGTTCAGCAGGCAGGGAATTGCTGTACGTTGCAGAAATTTTGGAGGATTATAGATAAATTTTATTTTTTGGTTTTCTTTGGAGGATAATAGAACAGAGAAAAGCATTATGATAGAAATCCTATTGGATTTGATTCCTGAGGTCTTCATGGCATAGAGAAAGAAAATAACTGCTATTCATTTCTGATGTGTATGATTCCGAATAACATAGTTTTATTTTTTTCCATTCATCTGATTTGGTTCTGTTACTTGGTGCCCTTTAAAGTAGTGGTAGTAAACCATCTCTTAATTCGGTCTGAGGAAAATGGAATTTTAACAAAGATTGCAAATCCAAGTCCTCAATATTTGATCATCCTTTGAATAAGCCTTTTTGAACAAAAAGGATTTAATTTTATTTGAATAATCAATCAGTTAGTGAGTAAACACATAGGTTTAAAATACAAATGATATGGAGATACTAAATAACTAAATTTTTAGATATTTATTTGAGTTTGAGGGGTATAACCAATCTGCGCTAACGAGCAAGAAACGACCTCTTACTATAGATAGGCTAACGCGCGAGGTAGTAGAAAACTTGGGAGCTCAAGGCCAAGTCAAGTTGCTGATTACCCACCGGGAATAATGGGTGATTCTAATGAGGCAAAGAATCCCAAAACTCAGACACCATAACAGTTAATTGGAACAATAGTCTTGATGCATTAGAGCTGATTTCCAGTTTACATTATCCTACATAAGCAGTTTAAATTCCAGAAAAGATACATTAGAGCTGATTTCGAGTTGCATAGGTTACTGCTGACCCTGATTTGTTCCAAATACCTTCATATAATTGCAACTTCTTTTTCCCTATTCTCCATTTGTGATATAATGCTGCTTCTGTGATTACGTACAAAGGCTCTCAAGTGGTTACATGGTTCAACTTACGTGTAAAAGCACGACAGAAAGAAAAAAGCATTTCGCGAATTACAGTTATCACCAATTTACTTTTTTTACTGGAAAACACCAATGTATTTGCTGCTTCCTCTACAAAAAGCAGCACCTCGTTTAGTGTGTACCCTCCTTAAAGGGACCAGAATCGTTTAAGAGTTTCATAACCAGCCTAACCTGCAAATGAAGGGTTCGAATTTACAAACATCAAGTTACCACTAGCAACTGTAAAAAAAAGCTAGAGCTTCCAAGAAGTAATGCAAGTAATTGGCTATTCTTGAAACAAAGCTTCAGAGAGAGAAAGAGTTGTGGATGGATTGCAAAAGATGAATTACTTTGAACTGTGAAAATTCCAGGATGGATAAATTACATGGAAGTTCTTTCTAGACAAGGGTCCTGTTTGAAGGAGTAAGTTACCATTTTGATTTTCATATATATATAACATGCTAAGAAATTATTTCAAGGTATCATTGTATGTATATGTACCTGACATGATTCTCGCACCAGAAAGTCCTCTATGGCCTTCCTGAAACCTTCATCCATAAGGTAATGACAGCTATAAGTTGTCACGGGCATATAACCTCGCTGAATCTTATGCTCACCCTGGGCTCCTGCCTCTACTGAGCTCAGATTCAATTCAATAGCAGCTTCAATTGCCTGCAGCGGCAAAACAATGCATAAATCTATAATCATGCCATGAGGAAGAAAAAGCAACTGCTATGGTACAACCAGTTGTTCGTATCCTTTGAGAAAGAAAAGCCAAATGCCATTGTAAAAACAAGGTTGAGAAGCAAGACATACAACCCATTTTTCGGATTCTAAAGGTTGAGAACATAGGGGTTGAACTTGAAAATTTACAGTCTGAGTTGGTGATGGTCAAAGCAAAAGAGGAGTTTATTGAAGAGTTGCCTAGTGAAGATCCTTATGTTGATTTTATTCTTCCAGTTCTGGAAATCACCTATGGCTATTAATGAAAATTTTCCTATTGACTTTGTTATTTCAAGAGTGAGATGCACAAGTTGTTTTACCGAAAATGGTTGTGCGACAAGAGAAATTCATAGTTGAAAGTTACATTCTTCTGAATCTTGCCAGAACCTTCTAGTTGAATATTTCAAAACTTGGTGTCAAATTTTCTCCAACAAGGTGAGAATGATGCAGGATGATAAGAAGCTAGTTGAACAATTAAATTTTTCACGGAGTGTAATTCTAAAATTGCAGTTCATGGTTTTTAGTTAAAGAGTCTGCTTTTGGTTTAACATAGTTCCAGATTGTACTTAATGTATAATGTTTTAGGAAATTGAACCCTAATAAAAGAACCATTTTTTATACTAACTTTTTCAGGTTTGTTTTTTTTTTTTCTCTTTTTTCTTAAACATGTAGATCTGAACCTGATAATAACAGGCTTCAAAATGCAAGCTCGGATAGTGGACTTGAGGGTGACATCCCCATAAACGTCCAAATAAAGTATTTCCTCCAATGAGATTTAGAGCTCCTGCCACAACTTCATCCCCTTCTTCAGCAACTACAAGTAACACCTGATCTCCCATCTTTGATCCCATCTCGTGAAAAAAATCTCTTGTTAGATAAGGACTACCCCACCTATAAAATTGACAGTACACTTCAGGCAGCTCATAGAACAGGATAACAGAAAGAAATCTAAGATATGTTCATCAACATTATATAAAGTTACTTAAATTTCTGTGAAATGCCAAAAGAAGGTTTAAGATTAGGATCAGACTTGTTATCAGCAGTATTTCTGTAGAACTTGTAAAAGGAATCCCAGTGACTGGCCTGCCAAGACAGCCATAAAAAATAAAAGTAATACAACCAACTGTTGCCTGCCGTATAATTGTAGTGAAAGCAGTGAATATTTAAAGTCCCATTATGTTGCAGCAACAATTTATTCAATATAACAGCTCAAAAAAGAACAAATTAATCATTACTTGGATTAAATTCATACTGCTTGAAAGGGTAAACACAAAACAGAACCCATTAATTCAAGCCTATGTAAATAATATGTATGTACAAACACTTGTGTGTAAGTACACATGGTCATGCACATAAAAGAAATTAAATTGGATGATCTGCAAGAAAATGCCATTCAACACATGCATTGACATATAGATACAGAGAACCTACTTTTTAACCAAGCGATGCAAATTTAAAAGTATAAGCGCCAGTTTTCTTTTGCAAAGTGAGTAACATTTGTCATTGATCCACATGGAAAGGATCAGCAAAACTATAGAACATGCTCAAGGGAATATCACATGCATAATTGAAGAAATAGTTAAATATTAGCATATATGTTTGGAAATATCGGTCGGTTGAATTAATGACATCTACCTTTATTTCATAACCTCTAAGCCGTTTCATAGTCAAGTTCTGTGCAGAAATCTGCAAATAGAAAAGTTTACTAAGATAAAAGAAAATAAGCAAAAAGGATGTCCTTCAATGAAGCAACTATCTGAGCATGTTACCATATGTTTTTGAAACAGATAGAGAACCTCCTCATTACAGGCAAATAGAAAGCAGCAAACAGATGCACCTACAATCTGACTTCATTCTATGACATTGAAACTGCAATATTTTATTAAAAGAGTTTTGCTGATTTGGAAAAAATACATTTCTATGCAAATATCATTTTCATGTTTTCTAGCTGCTATCCATACCAGATAGAATTTACGTACCTTGATAAAAATATTAAGTCACTTAAAGCTTTCACAATTGGTCTATGTGGTGTACCCCAAAATGCAATTGCCATAACAGCAAATTCAGTTACAGCTAGAGACTAAAATTTATAACACTAGAAGGGATTCATTCAAGCAATAAGGGGAGCACAAAACATGGATGCAATCATCAGTGTCAACACCATCATATGCAAAGTATCGGGTTTTATGCATATTCTAGCTTGATAAATATTTGAAGTATGTAAAAATGTACTAGTTAAAAACTACTAACATAATGTGAATCTTGGTAAAGTCTTAATGAGTTCTAAATGCTCCTATTCATATCAACTGACGAAGATTTCATGCAAAATGTCAAAGTTTGCGATTCAAGATTTAAGTACATAGTTATTAAGTTAAACTATTTGGAAAAGATACAGACCTTCTTGCGCTCTTGACGGATATTTTTCCTTTTACTTTGCTTCATATCCATTAGGAACTCATCAAAACTGCAGTGCAAAGACAAAATTTATAGTATATTTATAATTATACATAAACATGAAACAAAAGAAATATTTCTGTGAACTAGAACACAAGATATTAGTTACTAAATAACAAAAAAAGCTGCAACTTGACATAATAAACGAACACAACAAATACCATATCACAGGAATTTTCCTCCATTGATTATCTTTATTTCTCATGTCTTCTCTTGATGCAGCCTTTTCTATAACATATTGCTTTGTTCAATACTTATTTAACTACTTTCATTTCTATGATGGAATGTCAAGTTCTAACTGTTATTTGTCTATCTCTTAGGAAACATGGCAGATGAAAGTTTGATTTCTTTCATTTCTTTCTTTGATTGATGTGTTTTTATTTATGAGAACATATGGAAATCAGCCAATTACACCAGTGATGATTCATGCCAAGATTTCAACATTCAGTCAAATATAGAAAAAAAAAAAACAATTGATATAGATTGCAGCTGTGTACTTAACTACAGAAGGACATTTTATCATAACTAAGAAACAGTTCAGTCAGCACTCACCTTTTATAGTTGCGATTCTTCCAGTGGTACTGCATTCCAATCCTTTGTAAGAATCCTTTATCCTTCAATTTGTGCCACTCGGTTTCAGATGGAAAGGTAATGTGCAGAGAGGAAACTTGAGACTGTCAAAAGAGATTAAATTGCATTAAGGGGGTAGCATATTGGAATTTAAAAACAAGCTCTTTATTCTTGGGGTTGCAAGTAAAAAATAACTCACATAGTGCAAAAGAAAGAGCAAAAAGAAAAGGGTTGAATTTGGAGGCCTCATATTGCAATATGGTTTAATATTTAATTAAACTGTGCCATAAACAGTTGTCATGGTGCTCTGCATTGCTTTAGACAGTCTTGGTTGTCTTGTTCATGCAGATCTCTCCCTCCTATAATTTTCCTATTATGCCGCATTCATTAATACCATTTAACTGCTTGTTTCAAATATTTTTCCTCTATTCTTATATCCTGTGGGTGGGTCTAGGCAAAGGCCATCTGCCAATGGAAGCGGGTAGTTGCATTGAATCTTTGAGTTCTCAGGAACTGTAAGGTAGTTTTTCAATATTTAAGGCAATCTGCAG